GAAAATATATTTTAAGAATACACATACCTCTGATCTTATTTTGCTCTCTGACTTAATGCATTAAACATGGTATTTATAAGTAGCTACTTCTAAACTTATCTCATTAGCTTGTTGGTTACTGAGATCAGCCAATCATAATCAAATAATGATTATTAAAACTCAAGGCTGTTGAGCTTTATTCTCCTATGTTAATTTCTTAATTTTATTTAATTTCAAGCACAAGAAAACCTGTAAACAACGTTTAATAATTATTTTGATTATGCACAGGTAATTATTAGTGTACAGTTTGCCGAACAGTGTCATTTTGTGTTAAGGGTGTGCTTGTTGTTTAAAAATCAATAATCAACTTTTAAGTTGATGCTCAGTGCAATTTATTTTTATCAATCATAATTTATCTCAATTACGAAGGAAATAATTATCATATTTATTGGTTTGAGATTTGAAAGTGCGATAAAAATAGCCCCAAAGATATAATTATCCACATATAAACAATAGAATGAATCCCTGACATTTTCTTAACTTATATACAATTAAAAAAAAAATAGATATAAGATTAAAGAATTTAGGGAAAATCGCATTAAAACGTAAGGAATATCACGTTTTTAAGATAAATTTAGTCATTTTTTCAAGAAAATCTATAATTCAATCTTTTTGGTTTCCTCTATTGGTCTTTGTTTAATATTTCATGTTTTTTTCAGACAATGCGGATGATATTTTGTCTTTGTTAAATATTAGCTCACAATAGGTAGCAGAAGTAGGAAGTTCAGTTCCAGAGGCGTAATGACCAGACCACCAAATGAAAATTTACCAACTGTCAAATTGGTAGTAGTTGGAGATGGAGGTGTTGGTAAAAGTGCCATTACCATTCAGTTTTTCCAGAAGCTTTTCGTTACTGACTATGATCCTACTATAGAAGACAGTTACCTGCAGCATGTCGAAGTTGATGGCCAGTGGTGTATGCTGGATGGTAAGAGTTTTCTATTTGTTAAGCGATTTGATAAGTTTTAAGTATTGTTTAATTTTTAGTGCTCGATACTGCAGGACAAGAGGAATTCAGTGCAATGCGAGAACAGTATATGAGAAAAGGAGATGGATTTTTATTGGTTTATTCAGTTACTGATAAAAACAGCTATGAAAACATCACACATTTTCATACTCAGATTTTACGTGTCAAAGATAGGTGAGTTTTTTGTAATGTTCAAATAGTTTTAAAGATACTAAAAACATTTTGAAAATTGCTAAAAAATAAGATATTACTCAAAGTGCCTGAAAATTTGCTAAATTAGAGAAAAAGTAATAAAAAATTAATAAAAGCCTACAAGTAAAAAACACTATACAGTGGAACTTGGTTATAGCGTCATTGAAGGGTCCAAATAAAAAATGACGCTATATAAGAGTGACGTTATAAAAGAGGTAAAAAAAAAAGAAATAGAACATTGAGGCGAAATTTGATTACAGCATTATTTTATTATTACAGCTGCATTAAGGATAAAAAAATCAAGAAATAAAACATATCAGGTATATGAAACTTACATTTTTTATGAAATAGTTCTCTAATGCTGAATAAAGTTAGTTATTTTCTTCTGCACACCCTGTTTGAAAAATAAAGTTTTTCTGTAGTGTCCTTAATAATCTGAGCTACTTCTTTGGTAGTTGGGATGCTTCCTGAACTGGTAAAACCTGGATATGGCCTCAGCAGCTCTCATTGCTTCTTGGATTGTAGGACAATCAACGCATCTTCATTTTATTCTTCATTATCTTCATCAATATCCATTTCCAGATTTTGCACTTGTTCCACAATTTCTTTATTACTTAAAACTTGAAATGTTTCTACCTAATTGTCTACTGAAATTTAGAAGAAGATCAGTTCCAAACTCTTTCTGGTTTACATTAAATTTTTGTATCCACTCTAACAAAGGCATTTCGTCATCCTCGTCAACATCCTGAACATTGGGAGAAACTACAGTCAATTTAGCTTGATGAAAGCACTTACAAATTGTTACTTGCGTAACCGCAAACCACCCATTGTATAAAAACTGAACTGCATAAGGATAGTTATGTTCACCGGTTCCCCATTGTCCACACAAAAAATTATCCTTTTCAAAAGTTGTTTCCGATAATGGCACTTTAAACTTGTTATGACTCCTTGGTCCATAGGCTGTAAGACACTCATGCAGTTGGCTGGTAGAAAAACGTTAGTTGATATTGATCAATTAAGCTTGAGATGGGCTTCACAGTTGTCAACTAAGAGAAGAATTTTTCTTTTTTTGAAGAGAGTTCCTTGTCATATTTCTCGATTCTTCTTAAAAAAATAGCAGAAGTCATCCACGTTTTTTTGTTGGTTCTGTAGTTTACAAGCAGTATATTTATGTTTTTGAGATATCTAGGATGTAAACTTTTCCCAACAACCAAAAGCTTTCTTTTCTCTGTCCTGTCATGTTTGCACAAACAAAAGCCGTGACTCTTTGTTTTGAAAGCTTTCCATCGACACATTTTTGATTTTGAAATTTAGAGTTTTGTCTGGCGTTAATTTGTAAAAGACACCAGTTTCTGCTATCTTCATCCTTGTATGGTTGCCTTAGTTGTGTCCATGTGTTTTGTAACCAATTACCTGTCCGTTCTTGTCCACACATTTTGCCTCTCCAACAATTTTCACGAAGGAAATTGAGTGCCGGCTTTAAACCAATCTAGCCAGCCGTTAGAGCATGTAAAATCTTCACCAAACAGTTTTCCGAACTCTGTAGCTTTCTTCTTTAAAAGTGGCCTGGACACAGGAATATCAGAACTGCGACAATGCTTGAACCATTTGAGTAGAGCTGAATCTACATCACCACAAATGCACTTCCTAATCCTTTTAACTTTTTCTCCCACCTCATTAAAGGCTTTTAAAATGTTGTTCTTGTTTTTTAGGATTGAGCCGACTGTCGAATTAACAAATCCAAATTGCCTACATATATCAGCAATTTTTCGAACACTTTCAAATGCTCTTAAAACACGCACTTTATCTTTAATAGGCAAAGCCTTCCTTTTAGAACTACAACTTACCATATTAAAAAATAAAAGTTAATTACTAAATTAAAATCTAAAAACAAAACGAGCCGAACACAATTTCACGGTTGCGAAAATTTCTAAACTGACTGTTCCGAAACAGAAAATTTGACTGTTATGGATGGCACTGATAAATGAGAAATCATACAACTGTCAATGTCACATAACTGTACATAGAAGAGATAATTGGTCTTTTTCACATTCTTGAAAGGAACAATGCCTCAAAGCCGGAAACTCATTGCACTTTATTCTTCATAAAATAAAAAACGACAGCCTACTGTAAAATTTTATGATGTTATAGACAAGGCTTACTTTATTTTTAGCCGATAAAACCGGGTTTTTAATAATGTTATCAAATAGTTCTTGACCTTTTACAAATTGACGTTACAACCGAGATGACGTGATTACCGAGGCCATAATATCCAAGTTCCACTGTACATCTAAATTAAATTTTAAGACAACTTTTGCAGACTAAAAATTTGTTTCAAAAGCAACTTTTATTTGTTTCACAGAAGAATTTAAAAAGTCTATATCACAGTTAATTGTCACTTGGTTGCTTGGCCACACAATGTACTGCTTGGCCACACTTCTCGATTTCATGCTCTTCTAAGGTCTTCTTGGTAGATTAGTAACTTTTATTCATGAGTATAGACTTGGATGTCTATACACTCTTCACTGCTTACATTAGAAAAGTTAGGTGTTAGGTATGCCTTAAATTGGTCAGGCTTTGTCATTGGTTGCAGCATTGTAACATGGACTTATACATATTTTGGTAACTTTTAAGTTGGTAAGTTCTCCTAATTCCTCCCTACAACAAACTGTCACTTTGACCGCTTTCTAACCTGTTGCCATTCCATATTGCTTTTGACCTGAACCTCTTTATTTAGCTGCTATGGTTACTTGCTTAAGTGATTTATAGGAAGTTGAGTTTTCGACTTCCAAGAGTAGCATTTTTTGACGTACTTTGTTGGGATTCTTGTTGTTCGGATGATTTGCTAAGGGTTTTGTTTTGTTTTTGTTGTGTCATGCTAGCATATGTCAAAGCTGAGACAGCTCCACTGTTGGCAGACTGACTTTCCAAATGTCCTGAATTTTTATTTTTATTGACAAACATATCACATTTTTCTTCCAGTAGCTGAATATTTTTATATAATAGAACCTCCTTGACCTTTAATTTCATAATAATAGTAATATTTACCTTTGATTAACTTATTCTTTGAGTTATTTTTTCCTACTGCCACCGCCCAGCTTCTGGAAGGGCACATGGGTAATGGGACACATTTTCACAATTTGTTTACTTAACAATACTATTAACTACATGCAGTTTTGGTAATATTTGCAGATTTTACATGAGCTCTTTTCAGCGTCGTCATCACCCGCCATGTTGTCGTTGTTATTCAAAACAAATTAACTTTTAATATTTTTATTGAATAAACAAAAAGTGACTTAAAACTTATTAAATGTGACGAAAAATAAAAAAAAGTATCAAAAATGTATTTTTCATTAAGTTTTTTTGTTTAAATAAATGCTTCTGTGCTACAAGAAGCCATGATAAAATTGTTATTCACAACAAATTATGTTTTCTTTAGGGACACCTACCCCATGTTATTAGTTGCCAACAAGGTAGATCTTGTTCATTTAAGAAAAGTGACTGAAGAACAAGGAAGGGATTTAGCTCACAGGCTAGGAATCCCCTACATCGAGACCAGTGCTAAAGATCCACCTCTTAATATAGACGCCACTTTTCACGAGGTAAATTTCCTTCATTTATTTTATATTCGAATTTTATTCATCCTGATTACTATTGTAGGTAGTAAGAATTATACGAAATCAACCCCAAAATGAAAACGACAAACGAAAAAAGAAGAAACTCCAGAAGTTGGGCAAGTGCATATTATTATAAGTATCTGTTGATTTTTGAGAGCTTTTTATCTTATTTTTAGGATATAAATATATAAGCTTTAATGTTATACAAATGTTCAATGTTGGATGTGTTGTACCAGAACGTTTTTTTTATTAACAGCAACTACTTTTACCAAAATCATGCAATATAAAGGAAATATTACTTTATATATTACAAATTTATGGCACAATCTTATATTTTAGTATATTTATTTTGGTAAGAGTATATTTTTCTACAGTGAAACTGAAGTATTTCGATTTAAAGCCAGTCAGTTGTTGTGCTAAAATTATATTATACAAAAAGGCTGATTTGTATTTTGCTACATAAATGCACATTTTTTATCAAAAAAAAAATTTTTTGGTTATTGAAAATATTTCGTAATGGTCCGCTAAAGTTTTATGGTACAGGAGTGGGAGAAGAAAAAAGAATTGGGTTATTAAGAACACTAGAAACTTACAAAAATAGTACTTACTTATAATTAACAACTAGAAATGATGAGAAATTAGAAACAGTTACTCAAAATTTACTAAATGTGACAAAAGTAAGAAACAGTTGATAAAAAATATACTTTTTGCAAAGTATATTTGGATGAATGCTTCTATGTGACTACTGTTCAAGAAGAAGCGACTCTAGAACTTTGATTTACAACAAATTTCAATAAAACAGTCAATAAATGTCTATAAAACCATTTGAAGGTTATTACAAATGAGGAATTATTAAAAGTCACTCAAAATAAACTAAATGTGACAAAAAGTAACAAAAAAGTTAGATAAATGCTTCTAGGTGAGCATTGCTATAGAAAAAGTGACTCTAGAATTGTTAAACACAAACAAATTATGGGTTTTTGTGAAATATGGGTGATTTTTTTGGAAATATTCATAATTCTCCACTCTTGTGCCATTATAATTTAGTGTAGTCCATTATATTATTAGCACTAAGAACCTCACTGGCAGAAATAACATACCAAAGGAAGTTTTTACACAAAGCAGAACAAAAGAAAAGATATTTATATATGCATTATTTTTGATTTTAAAAATATTTGCTAAAATTGCTCAAGTTTTATATGTTTAAAAAGGCACAATTTTGGTTTTTAAATATTGTGTATCTTATTGAGCCATGCAGCAATATTATGTTTGGATTTTATACACAGATCTGTGACTATGGTTACAAAAAATAAATATTTCTTGGGATCTTCTGGTTGAACTAGAGATACACTTGAAATTTATATACTGTTTTTGTTATTTTCAAAGTGGTGTTATATATTTCACTTGATGTGTTCAAATTTTGAAATCCCTGTAGAAAATTAGCTTGTGTTTTCTACGTATAATAGATACTAAGTATATACTTTTTGGATAACTGCGTATTGAGCCAATTAACGTTTTTTAAACGAGTTCAATTCAAAAAAACAAGTTCTTTGTTGAATATTTAAATAATCTTTTTGCATCTTTAATGAATGTGCCAAGCCACAGCCACCTTTACTTCCAAGCCATGAAGTAAAAAAGGCAACACCGCATTCTATGACGTCGGTAGTCCGATAATCCGCTGTAAGGTCTACCAGAATATTAAACTAATTTGAATTTTAGGAAACTGATATTTTGAAAACTTCAATTCATTACAGAAATATTTTTAGGGAAATTAAATTAATAAAACCTTATATATACCTAGTAAATATATAAAAAGTTTTATTATTATTTAGGTTATATTATCAATAAAATAATCACTAGAGTCAAATTTATTGCACTTAAAATACAGTGTCAAACAGTTAAATTAAAAACAAATTTTAAATATGAATAGGTTTGTTGTCATATAGACCAAGTTAAAAGAGGTATACATGAAAAATGTGTTGAATGTAACATACCATTTATAACTTGTATATCCATTTAAAATAGATTCTCAAAGATTTTTGAATGTAATACTCAAAATGTTATCACTTATCTAAAAAGCAGATCTAAATGAGAAAGTAAGTTCTCTAATTGTGACCATCTTGTTAATTTACTATATGTAAAATCCATTTCAAATCATTACCACTTAATCTATTCTTACCTACATTGACAATTACACTAAAAATTTACTGCTAACTATTACACTACACATTACACAAATATTATCACACTTGTGTCCCAACTGATTAATGTTTTAATACATAGAAATATACACAGTCACTTGTAATTTTACTTGTCCAGTTTTTCAATGGGATATTATTGTCTAAGTCTAATTGACATAATTATGTTATCTCTTGTTCCCTCTTCTTATGCAAAAAGTTTCTTCTGTCTTCGGGATTCCTTTTTTCTTTATTATGATGAACAGTTACATATGATGGTACTTCAGGAAATATATTAGGAACTGCATTGCCTTTTAATTTGGAAATATTAACTTTTCAATGTGTACATTTCCATCTTTATCTTCTCATTGTTCAGTCGCTGAATATCATCTTCATGAAAATGTTTGGCACATACTAAGGAAGATTTGGTAATTGTACAGCCTTCTCTATGAATAGAGCATAACCCAGTATACCTTCTTTGGGGATCTTCGGGAAACAAAAACATACTTTCTGTCTGTTTCATTTTTAAAGTACTGGCATAATTGGTTTTGCAACCAGGTACACAACAATGCCAGAGCATCTGTAACAAAAAACAAAAGTATTATTATTGTTGTTTTTAGTTTACATATTTTTGTAACAAGAAGCAAAAGTATTATTATTTTCAGTTTGTTTTGTAGGTTATATTTATACTTGCCTTTTAAATTGTTGTTAAGAATCTTCTAAAAGTTCTAAATTTAATGAAATTTCACTTATATTAATATTTTCTAATTGATTTAAAACACAATTTACAAATAAAACATTCGAATAAAGTTAAAAAAACAATAAATTCAACAAATTTTACAAGCCTTCCTATATGAAATGTTTAAACCAAAACAAACCACAGTCGGACTACCACGCGTTGTTGCCAAATTTCTACTTCATGGCTTGGAAGTAAAGGTGGCTGTGGCCAAGCACTACTTGTTCCGATTTTTTAAAGATTTTTAAGCGAAAAACGTTGACTGGTTCGAGAAGTATCGTTTTTAATAACAAAAATGTGATTATATAGGACTTTTGTGCAAATTTCCTCTCACGTTCTAATATGGACATATTTGTGTCTTCTGTGACGTGAAAAGAAATTTGTATGATTCAATTTTGATATGTGAATTATTATCTAGGCCTAATTATATTTTTCCTAATCGCATATTGAATGGTACTAGTTTTTTTATTGAATTAAAATGGCGGCCATATATTTCAACGAATATTATGTTGTTGTTTATTGTTTTTATTTATTTACAGACATTATTGTACAATGTGTTAATGGATATTTAAAAACGCACGTTTATATATAATTGTTTTAACCCGATAATTTGAATATATACAATATTCGTCAAACTGTAGTTTTATTGAAGCCCTACAAGCAAATTACTATTTTTTCCTTCATTGACGAATCAACTCTTCCGTTGCCAGGTTGTGTAGACACGTCTAAATTTAGTTTCTAAAATAGTCGTTTCATGTCAGCACAGCACCTTTGTTTATGTCATGTCCAATGACGTATAATATATAGACTACGCAGTCCCCTATTCTCGCTATAGAATGAAGTGTCCGAAAGATCTCGGCTCAAGGTTGAAGTATGTTTATCACAACAGCGGCGTGCTCATTTATATGTTAATGACAATAATTATGTTTTTAATTAAAATTAAATATTTATGATTTCTTTTTGTTCCGTCTATAAGAGAAATAATTATTTTGATAAATAGTATGGCATTTTACTTAAATAGTAAGTAAATAACTCTCAACATTTTAAAATAAAATTTGCTGTCACACAAAATGGAGAAAATGTTTTCATACGTCCATGATGTTTTCAAACACAAGATCAACTTCGTGATGCTTCGTAAGAAATCATGAACTTCGTGCATCTTCGTATCAAAACAATAAACAATAACAAAGGTATTCATGTTTTGGACACTTTTTAAAGCGTTCACCGAGTCTATATATTATACGTCATTGGTCATGTCATTCATTTGTTGTTGAAGGTTGAAGGTGTCTTCTTTTTTGGCCAAATCAAGAATTTTAAAGTTATTTAATTCAAAGAAATCTTGATTTAATTATAATTGTTAACCTACAATGAAATGAGTTTACAAAACGTTAACAGTGGTATACTCGGTTCGCTAATGCCATCCGAACGTCTAGTGATTTTAGTAATTATGTTTTTTACGAAGTTAGTTACTTTTTGACAGACTAGAAGTGGCTGGAAATTATTATACAACCAAGTACACGTGCTCATAGCGCATTTCATTAGAGTATTTCGTCGACCTCTTTTGCAAACTTATACTATGAATTAGAAATTTATAGCATGTATATAGAATGTAAGTTTCTATTATATAAAAAAAATATGTTTTATAAAAAAAAGTTACGGTAATTTAGTTTATATCGTTAGTTGCGCCAAATGTAGGCAACCAACTTAAACTTTTTGTTAGCATTTAGCTGGAGTTTCTTGAGATTATATTTAATATTTTCCAGTTAATTTATTATTATTTTTTAAAGTGATGATAATAATGCTGAATAAGCAATATTTCAAATGATATCTAATCACAGGACGTACTTAATATTATTGTGTTATAAAGTAGGTTAGATAAAAAATATCATAATATTCATATTATAATTCAAAAATATCATTCATCAAAAATATTTAATATCATCAAAAATATAATTAAAACAATCATAATCTTCTATTATTCCTATTAGAAACTAGTTTTGGACGGCCCGGGATTTTACCTTTTTTATCTAACGTACTTTATTATGAGATTTTACAATAACACAATATTAAGTACGTTTTGTGATTAAATATCATTTGAAATATTGCTTATTCAGCATTATTATCATCACTTTTAAAAAATAATAAATTAACTGGAAAATAATAAACGTTTATTAAAAATATTCTCAAGAAACTCCAGCTAAATCCTAACAAAAATTTAAATTGGTTGCCTACATTTGAGCAACTTAACGATATAAACTAAATTACTGAACTTTTATCACAGCTTTTATTTAATTTTTGACGCCATTTCAAACTGAACTGGATGTTAACTGAAATGTTTTTGTTATTAAGAACATATTTACATAATTTTATAAATATATTTTAATGATCCACCTACGCCGAATGGGCAAATAATTAAACAAAAATGGTTGGTGTTTTGAATAAATCTTTGTGCAGTTTGATTACCTCGTAATTTAACAGCATCCTTACTCAATCTAAAAATATTAACTTATAAATATAAGAACATTTATATCATATTTATATTATTCAAGAAAAACTTACCAACGCATTATCTGATAGAACAAATGGAAAACTTTGACTATCTCTAATGATAAATTCAAAATAGAACTAACTAATTAACTAAATAGAACTAACAAAGAATTAAACAAAAATAATGGAACAATAAAACTATATTAGCTAAAATAAACAACGCGAATAATACAAATCTTTACTACAATATGTTCAATTGTAACAACTCAAATTATTATATTTTTAAATATACAGGGAAAATGTTATGGGTTTAGTATACACTTCCACTATTTGGAATAATTCTTCTTTTTTAAAGGAAGAAGTCTGCAATAATAGTATATTTGAGCTATTAATACGAGAAGTAGGAATTTTTGTGTTGTAGGTTTCCGACAATGAATCTGTCAAAATATGCCCGAGCTAAAGCGAATGGAGAATGGACCGCAGGAGTGTGGACGTCACATGTCATTATTACTTTCCAAACAAACGTTGAAATGTCAAATCTCAAGACTTTAATTCCTATAAAGTTAACATTTTGCTTCCTCTGCTGCTTTTTCTTGTAAGTATAGTGTTTTTACGATAATACCGTCATAATTCATAGTTCTATTTCTATGAAATATGGTTTAAAAGTTTAATTAAAGAAATTTTTAACCTTACTTTATTGATACTTTCATTTTATTCCTATTGCATAAAACAATGTGCTTTATTATTTACACAACCTTGTAAAATTGTTGTAGTAACTATTAGAATACTTAAATATTGCAAAAAGCGGAAAGATTCTATAAAATAAATGAAAAAAATACCGAAAAATACAAATTATCCACACTAAATAAGGTTGTTTGGAA